CCCCAAAACCCCAAAACCCCAAAACCCCAAAACCCCTTCGGATATGTCAAAAATTGAGATTTAATTCAGTATCTTAGAACTCTTCTATTGCTCAACGTAGAAGGGCCTCCTGGGCCGGACTAGGAGGGAGATTTTGAATGATAGCCATAGCCTGCTTAAGTATCTGCTCTGAATCTTGTGCTTCATCTCAATATCCTCTAAATAATGATCAGCCTCTAAGCTATGCAACCTTGCATGAGAGTCTTGAATGAAGTCAGAAGAACAAAAGCTTACCTTTGCTTCTTTTTGTTTGGTGAGATAACCTTATTCTGGCTCTTTGTAGGTCCTGACTGAGACTCATAATATTTCTGCGCTTTTGCTAACTTCAGCATGGTTTTAGCATATCCCAGATCAGCCATGGGAAGGGCTTCATCAAGCATTTTCAAGGCATGTTTATAGTACTTTCATGCATTATGATAATTACTCACAGCACAATAAGTGTCAGCAAGGTTGGTCAGAATAGTTGACTTGCTTTTCTCAAAACATTTGCCTCTAATGCTCCTAGTTGAGAGCTCTATAGCCTTCTTATATAGCTCAATAGCCATGTAAAGCTGGCCACCTCTTTTCTGAATATTTCCGAGGTCATTAAGGTAATTTACTTTCTCACTGGAGCTTCTACAAGAGTCTAGAGAGCTAAGGAGTTGGCTCAGATATACCCCAGCCTTCTCATCATTGTGTTGGACTTGGCTGATTTCGACCAGCTTTAACAGAATGGCTCGTCCCTGCTTGCCAATACCTTCTTCAAGGTACTGGTATAACTTCGCAGCGTATTCAAAGAGCTTCGTTGAGTCTTCATACTCTTCAAGTTTGAATTTCATCCGAGCACAGTTCAGGATGTATCTAGCAGGAGCTTTGTGGTGCTTTCCATATAAATTCTTGGATATTTCATAAGCTTGATCGAAACAGGAGTATGCTTCTGCATACTCATACCCCTTCGAGTAAGCTTCAGCAAGATTTGAATAGGCTAGTTCAATCTCTTCATGATGCTCTGGAAAATTCTGCCTCTTGAGCCTGAGAGAGCTCTCGTAGAGCCGGATGGCTTCTACAAAGCGCTGCTTTTCAAGATATATCGAGGCTATATTGGCCTGGATCTTTGCCATGACGATATCACTGATCTGGAGCTCATCCTTAGAAGCTTCAAATATCCTCATTGATAGCTCATAATTTTCCAGAGCTTTTTCATATTTCTGAATTCTCATGTATCAGTTGCCAACCTGGTTCAGAATATTGATGTAAACTAGCTCGGAGCTGACTACCAAAGTACTGTGATAATATTCCTTGGCTTCTTCAAACCTCTTAATAGCACGGATAGTTTCTCCGGAGTTCATTAGAGCTTCTCCACAACTAGATTTTGCTTCTAACAGATCTTTTGGGCTAAACTCATGGTCTTTGTAGGGGATGAGATCTTCACAAGTGCTACTGTATCTATTATCCTTCCAAATTGAATTAAGGTCAATCAATTCTCTATAAACCTTCGCAGCTTTGGAGTAATTTTCCGTCAGGACCAAAGTATCAGCCCAGATCTTGTGAATATGCATCAGAGAATTGGCAATTTCCTTTTTAAGTTTCTTTTTCTTATAAAATCACAAGCTCTTTTTGGTCATCAGCTCTATATTCTTAATAGCTCGTCCATAATCCTGTGAGACGTAGTAAGACCGAATTCTGAGATATTTTATAAAGATAGTAATCCTATCTGCCGCCCCTAGGTGAGTTACAGCTAATTTCTCTACTCCAGTGAGCTTCGTAATACATTGATTGTAGCCATGACCTTGATGGAGTGCCTCCAAGCATTCTTGTATGATAGTAACTACCTTGGAATACACACCTCCCTCTGATGGATGCCTTTTGACATGCCCAGTCTTCCCTCTGACAACATGAGAGGACTTCACTCTTGAGCTACTCAAGGACTTGTTCTGGCTCCTTGGCTCTGAACCCACCTCGACCCTTTGAGCCATTTTTGATTTGTATGGAGGAATCTGAGGTTTAGTGATCTTCTCAAGTTGGCTTCGTTTCGAGCTCTTCTTAGGCTTTGGAGAGATGCTCACTCTTGTCAAGGCACTGCTTGTAAAAGAATGGTTGTTCATACTTCGTCCATGTCTTAGCCTTTTAGTCTTATAATGGCTGCCACTTTGATTTTCTTTATGAGGACCCCTCCTCAGTGTTTTCAGAGTCGTGTTCCTGGGTTTAGAGGCGCTTGAGTAAACCTTTTTAGCCAAATCCCAACTTCCTTTAGGAGGCCTCTGAGCAGACTCTTTGAGCAAATTTGCTTCAGGCTTTACATAAGGAGTTATATTACTCTTGCGTTGAATTTTGGATCTACTTTTAGAAGAGAAATTTAAAGCTTCTTTGGGGTGATCCACAAGGTTATTAGGACTCCATCACACTAGTTGTAGCATTTGCTCAAGAGGATTTCTTCCCAGAATTACGAGCCTTCATTCTATATGGCTTATGCTTACTCCTTTTGGATATATTTGCCTGAGCTCAAGCCTTGTTAACAGGACTTCCTATATACTCCTTTAATGGAGAGGCTAAGTCTGCATTCTTTTTCCCTAAATTAGAAACCACAATATCTCTTCGGGGTTCTTCAGGACTATTTGAGCTAAATTTTTTATTCCCAGCTAGCTTCTTCTTGGCAATGTTAAAATAAGAGTTCTCTCTTGAGCTATTCAGTGGTCTGGCCAAACCTTCTCTCTGAACTTTGGCTTCATAATCTATAGCTATTAATCCATGGAACAATTTTGGCCTATTTTCTCCAAAAAATATCCAAAATACTCAAATCCTTACCAGAGAAAGGCCTCAGATGCCTTCCTAAAAGCTAAGAAGTTTTCCAAAATAAGAAGCAACTCTGTGAATACCTCTTACCGAGTTGAGGACTTTGTATCAGAGATTTAAGACTTATTATGTGAAATAGCTAAGTCTCGGATAAATGGCAATCAAGTCTTCAAATATTAAAATTGATATCTTAGAACCCAGAATCTAGGAAACCTTCATTAATTATGTGGAGAACTAAAGTTTTATCAGTCAAAGGTCCTAAAATATGGGGTTTCAATGGTGAGCTTAGGAAATGATACTAAGTGCTTACCTTCGTACGAACTATACCGACTGTTCGCCCCAGAAGGGCCTTCATAGATCGACTTAGCTTGGTTGTTACGGTCAAGAGGTCTCAGTTCATAATCCCGAAATGTATGAGCCTCACATGAATCGTCAAAAATGCTCCTTGAATGTCTTGACTGGATCCCATCCTGCACACAAGGACCGTGGTTCCTAAATTTATTTTGAGATGAGTAAAGACTGGAGGTAGGCTTAGGACCCACTTTTAAATCAAACTTTTACTTTATACACTGATTATAGAAGGTAATCCTTTAACTAAGAAAAAGAGTATTGTAGTCCCAGCATTAATGCGGCTAAGGTTTGAAGTTTAGAAGTGACCTTCAGGATTCTGGCTCTGAAAGGCCAACACTAGTAATAGACTTATTGCTCAATTCAAGGAGATTTGGGTCCTTAAAGGATTGCAGAACAAAAGAGACACAGGATTCTAAAATTTCCTGTCTAAAAGATAGCTTTGCAGGCCAAATCAATTCCTTACATTCCAAAGTTGCTATTTTTGGTATTATCTTGACTGAGCATTGTCTGGACATCTGATAACTTCTGAGCTGTTTGATGCTTTATATGGCTATCTTCACTCTTCAAAAGCTCATTGTTTCAATCTGGCTGTACAATATCAGCCCCCAGTTTAGGCTGTGGAAGCATCTTTCTACAGAGACTTAGTCCTGAATATTCAGAGAGCTTATGGTGCTTAGTTTTGGCTAGAGGACACTCTTGGCCAGAATTGCCTCTATCAGGCCAAAATTTATCCTCAACTCTTATCTCCCCAGGTTCAATGTTCTGAAAAGAATGGTCAAGTCCAGTTGGTTTCTTCTTAGGCATAGCAAAGTCAGAACCCTTTTGCTGCTGGGCTCAAGGCTCAGCAGCAGAGGTGTCTCTGCTATTGCCCTTAAGTTCATTCCATAAGCTATTCGGCTTCTCTTGGTCAGGCTCTTTCTGAGAAGTTAGGCCTGAACAATCAGGATCCATTTTCCCAAGGCAAGTCTGTACATTTGTTTTTGTTGCATTACTCATACTCGGATGCTGATGATATTTATGGCTTTCAAGATTTTTAATGAAGCCTTTTTCAAAACTATCTGTTGGTTTCTCCATAACTTTGGGGTTATTCCATCCAAATTGGCCACTGACCCGGTCCATAAGTGGCTTCTTCTGGTGCATTTCACTATGCGAATCACTACAGGAAGCTAAATTCTGTCTGTATGGCATCAGCGTCCCTTCGGGGGAGTCATTAAACATATGCTCTAATCTACTGAGCCTGTTTCGATCTATAGCTCACTAAAATCGTTTACAGGATGTATCAGAGCATTGATGAAGAGCACTCTGGGCTTTCTCCGGAACAACAGGGTTTGGAGTTTTTATCCAATGAGATTTATGCTGGATATACTCCTTCTTCCCAATATTACTCAACCCAGGTATGCCTATATGAAACTTTAGACAACTTTTTAACTGCTCTCTCAGCTCGGCATCTCTGACCACTGATTTAACTTGAATTTGAGGCAAAATAAAAAATTCTTGTTACTGGAGTAGCAATAAAGTTACTTCATCAGCATAAAGTCCTTACTTGGCTTGTAGATTTGACGATCAGAAACTTCTTCAGGTGGTTTATTCTCCATATTTAAATTTTTCAATCAACTCAAGCAAAATTGGGGTTTTGGGGTTTTGGGGTTTTGGGGTTTTGGGGTTTTGGGGTTTTGGGG